CCCTACCTTACACTTACAGTAGATGAATATGTTTTTTTTCTCATTTTTTAGTGATGTTACAGTTTGAAGAAGTAGATAACTTAAAAATGTTACCCTCATTGTCAAACCCAACAAATACTCAAGGCCCATCGGTGACCGATAGTTTTGCTACTGATACTACAGCTGAATTGATTATGTTCGATAATGAACCAGTAACAACCATTCAGTCAACATATAACACTACATCACCACCGTCAGCAACAATATCGACAATGAGAAAAAGTGAGAGTAATCGAGGTACGTACACTTCAAATAACTTTTTAATAGGTAAAAAGGCTCGAAAGATTGTATCAATAAGTGCGATCAACGATTTTATGTATACTATCTTTTTTGTGAATAGATAAAAGTTATCATAAATTTTCTGGTAATGTTTTATTTTCTTTCTCTCCGTACACTAAAACTAAGCATGAAAAAATTATTAGTATTAATAGCTAAAGCACACATATAAGCTTTTTCTGCGGGAGTAGATAGAAACTGATAAATGACTAACTTATGCTCTGCTATTTGCTTAACGAAAAGAAAATAATCGTTAGTTTGAGACAGTTGCATGATCCTCTTTGTAGTAAGGATTATCATAAATTATTTCCTCTAGTACTTCGTCAAGCACATTCTTCTCTATTCAGTAGTAGTAAATTCTTAGTCATTTCATCCCTAGTAGTAGTTCTATCTTAGTTTTATTTAATTGACAAATTTTGTTTTCAGCATTGAGTTCGTCATCGATGAACAATAATAATGTAGCAAATCTTGCTACATTAAGTTTGAATAATCCTAATCATCCACTTTCTCATTTACAAAGTTCAACAACAGCATCAACAACAACTACCGAACAATCTTTAGGCGGTAACCCTTTTAATCCATTCGATGTTAAAATAAAAAAGCCATCATTCAAAGGTATACTTCAAGACATGTATTACATATTTATTCATTCATTCATTCATTACATTCAGATCTAGTTGTTCAAGTTTGTCTTATTCTATTATCATTAGCATAGCTGCATGTGAAGCCAAGCTTGAAAACGAATTTTGAACGGTATTTGTAAATTATGTTCTTCATCTTAGGTTTTTGGCCAAATAGAAAAGAGAAAAGTAAAAAAACAAAACTTCAAAAAACAAATCAAAAACAAAATATATATGGTACACAACTCGATGACAGTACTTCAGTGAATTCGCATAATTCAGCGTTAGTAAATAACGATAATATGAAAGATAGTTTATTTTATTGTGTGTATTATGATTTTTATAGTGAATCAAATGAAAACAACATTGGGAAAATTATTGGTAGTATTGATGGCCTCAATCAGTTATCTTCACCAACAATGACAACAGCAACAAACGCTCTCCCTAATGTTACAAAAAGCAAATGTGTATGTTTAGTGTGCGTAGTTATAAATATAGTTTTACTTTTTTCTATTGTTTAGCCAACACCTGAACCTTATAGTCGGGAAAAATCAAGCCCACAAACATCTGATAATCGTCAGTTATACTGTAAAAGTACCGTACCGTTTTCATCTATGAGTAATAATCGCCAACAACAATCATCACAATCGTCAACAAGCTCCGATGAAGATGATGATGATTATCCAATGGCAAAAATACAGTTCAAAATTAATCCAGCTGCAAAAACAACAACAACAAACACCACTGAAATAAGTAACGAATCAAAAATTAGTGACGCAATGAGACAAGTCGATAAAAATATTGGACATATAGCGACCTATTCAAGAGCAACAGGACGTGTAAGTAATCAAAAGGAATGGTCTTTCTTCAATTATTTTGATTATATCATTTGCTGATTAAGTATTTGTGTATTATACGCTGATTCTTTTTAATATTTATAGGAAGAGGTAACATGAATTGCTTTTGTAATCTAAAACATTTTGTTTTCATGTTGTGTGGTTTATTTTTGTAACAATAACGAGGAAAAAGTTTTTAACGGTTTCAATGTAATATTTGTTGTATTTCACACATCATGTGTCTCATAGCTCAGCACAAAGGTGTTGCATTAGACTATTTTCCACTAACACATATATATACACACACATAAGAGTTTTTTCATACCAATACACTCACAAACAAATCTTTGTTTTTTCTTCTAGAAAATACCAGATATGAGCAAATCAATATCAGCTGGTCAAATGAGACCTGCACCTCCGCCACCACCTCATCGAATGCCGTACTTATTTTACTATGTAGTAGTGCTCCACTTTATCATTTCGTTTTTTTCTATACATAGGGCTCTGTCTACAAGTGTAACAGTTGATAATGTTGTTAATGCTCCTCAATCAAATATTATGTGGCAAAATCCGCGTTCAAACTCATTAAGTTCATCGTTGGATCCAATGGCTTCTTCTTCGATTAATAATCACGAAAGTAAGAGTTTTTTCTACCTAGACTTATATAATTATGAAAATGAATTTCAGAATATGTTGCAACATCGTATGAAGAAGATGCAGAAGTAGCGAATTCGTTTCCAAATTCTTCAGCGATATCCAATACTTCATCGACGATAATGAAACAACCAGTGCTACCATTTCCCACCGTTCCAAGACCAGTAACTCGTACAAGACAAGTGATGGTGAGTTAGAAAGACATATATAAAAAAAAAGCGAACTATTTTATCAATAAGTACTTAAAAAGTTTATGATGTTGATTATCCTAACCAATATAAAGGTTCAATTTTTCTAATACTTTCTGTAAAGCTGATTCTGATGTTTTTTTGTTGCTCATTGATAAATTTCCATTAGGTCTACTTTTGCGTGCCCTCTATGTTTTCAGTTGCACGATGATCCATGGAAAATCAATCAATCATCACTATCCATGACTCAGTCAGGATATTTCTGTCCTGCTAGCATTTGCTCAAATGATACATTTCGTTTTTCATGTTGCCATCGCCACTATCTCCCTCGTTATTGCTATCCCATTAGATACTCTCCTTCGTCGTTGTATTCCTATCCACCGACGAATATCTGTTATTTATCGGACAACAATCTTAGCTGTCATAGTGCTGATTTCCAATCAATTTCATGCATAAAAAAATCCAAATCGGATTTATTATCATGTAAAAACTGGAGTAATTATCATGCTTTATCAACATCATGTCTCTCTTATTCAAATTTATCATTTTCATGTTGTTCTAACCATAGTAAATGCTCTGCATGCCATTCTCTTGTAACACATTGGTTAAAAACCACAAATTATTCTGCGTACCACCATCATCCGTGTTGTTCTTCGATATGTAGTCAACGGTCAATTAACCAAAATCAACAACATCAGATAAATGATTTACAAAAGCAAAAAGATAATTGGTCACTGATAAGTTCTGATGCTGAATCATCAACGAATAATTCAGAGAAGCTTTTAATTTCATCATTGTCAGTTGAAAAACGCTCAACACCAATATCAGACTCAAATAGATTAGCTGAATCTTTAAGAAACGTATGGAAAACATCACTTTCACCTGTTACAAAAAAGTTACAAAGAAATAATAAACCAATAATTCACCTTGAACAAGAACAGAAGCAATGTGACATGAATCAATTGTATCAGCAAATTGAAGACGCCTTCATTTCGCCTGAGATTAAACATTGTATAAAGAAACATAATCCAAGTAAAGTTAGTTTAGGTTTTATACATATTTCTGAAACACAATCGATTGAACAAAGTGCTATGATAGTATCCAATTCAAACATAGAAAATATAACAAAAGACTCGGGTAACTCGTCATGTGATAAATGATTGATGACATAGACAAATCTTCATAGTTATTACACTATTCTATAGCACAGGATTCGAAATTCAATAAAATTAAAGAAGAAACATACGTAAATCAACACCAACAACATGAAAAACCGTTAGTATCCTCTTCATCTATTTCATTAAATTCATTTCACAGTGCTTGTGAAAGTCCAACGGATTATCTTTTAACAACAATCAATAATAATTTAAAATCGACTGTACTATTTGAGCAAAAACAAAACTATGTGTCATTAAATGAATTGAACAATGTTGCTGAATTGATGTTGGGTAGTAAACTGGTTAAAAATCAGTTTGAAAACTCATATGCAAATACAGAAATAATTTCTCTTCCACCACCGCATCTTCTACCACCAAATCATATTAATCTTTGGCCGAGAAAAAGACAAGAAAAGGTTTTTCTTCCTCAATGCTACAATCTTATGAGTTTGATCAAGATAAATTTTATTTGCATTTTGTTTATCCTCATGTTATATAATAAGAATGATTTTTATCCATTTTGATAATTTTACTTTTCATCTTTCTACGTTCCAGCATTATATTCTAACATTAAGTTTGCATTATATTTTGTCTTTTCGGACAATTATTAATCTTTTGTTTTTATTAATATAATCTGTTTATTTTAGCCGACACCAACAATGAGTACGGCATTACCGTCATCATCAGTGTCTTCAATGTCTTCTACTAATGGACGTATGACCCCTCTTACGCTGACTAACAGTATGGGGATGTCAACCAGTTTTCAGTTTGGCACAAATAATTCATTATCATCATCTGTGAACGGTTCTTCATCACCATTAACAATTGGCTCCACAGATAATATTCCGATAGCAATGGCTTATCAAGAAATGATTCATGCAATGATGAATGGAGAAGATGAAACAAAGTAAAACTATCTATTATTTGTAGCTAATTTTATTTCATTCTCTTTCTATTTTTAGATGGAAAATTCGTATACAAGGCGATATGCTAGTATCATTTCCTGCTGCTATATTACATCTACTATCTGCACCAGTTTCACAACTTTCTCCACTTGAATTTCGTTTAAGAAATTTAGACAAAGTGGAAAATATCATTGCTAATCCACAATTAGTCAGTTTGTATGTTCATTTCTCTTGTTACTTATTAACACAATATTAATATATAATTTTCTTTCCTAGAAATCAAACATTATCTGAGCCAGATGCACCCGTGTATAGTTTTAATATGACTGCATTATCTGGGATCCTTAATAACTTAAAAATAAAAAATCCAAATTTACCATTTTTCAATTTTGGCGTCTTAAAATATGAGGTAAATATTTTATATCATTGTTTTTTTTTTTGTTCTTTTAAAACATGTTTGTCATTTATAAGGTTAAACACTTAGGATCTAATAGTATTCCCATTCATGTTTCATCACAATGGTCAACAACGTCCGATACAATTATCATAAACCTGGCCTATCGATTTAATAGTTCCGCATTTCCAGATAATATACGCTTAATGAATGATATTGTAACATTCCACACGATTATCAATGATGCCAAGCAACTAACAGATTCATTACCGACGGCTGAATGGTACGGAGACTTATGAGAATGAATTTTAGTTTACATAGCTTGTATTTTTTGAATGCCCATTCTTGCTTGATTATAAATCTAACATTTTTATTCTTTAGGTCATTAGCTGAACATAAACTTGTATGGAAAGTACCCTATACATTTGATGGAAGTGGAACGTTAACAGCCACTTTGTCTACTCTCAATATTAATGATAATAATCAAGTAAAAGAAAATGGTATAAATTCAACTGAACACGTATCAGACTTAATAACATCATCTCCAGTTCATGTGCAATTTTTGGGTGAAAATGCTTTGTTTTCATCAATTGATTTTGAATTTGCTTGTCGTGGATATCGCGTTTCATTATTGAAAAAGAAAATTTGTAGTGGTAAATATCAATCAGAGTCGCTTGATAGTAATAACTATAGGCGATCATCACTCAATCATCGAAACAGTTTACCGTCGTTTGTAACTTCAACAAGTGTAGTATCATAAGTTTGTTTTCTCTCTGATCAATAAAAAAAAAAAAAAATGCAATGAAATTGTATAAAATCTGATAAAAGAATACTCTTTGGTGCTGTGTAAAAATAACCTACACTCATCATATTTTCTCTCTCACATAGTTAGATTGTTAGAATTTTTTTTTCGTAATATTTTTTTTTTATCAAATGTTATCATTTTATTTTACGAGAAGAACAGTCGAATATTTTCTATTTCTTTTGCATTTATATGATTGCTTGAGCACCTCTGCACATAATTATTTTCACTTTACTTTTATTTTGAACGTATTGGATGGCAAGTCTTATTAATTTCCGGTTTTAAATTTGACATTTTCTTCTAAGAGTTTTCTTAATACATGTAAAAATGAGTTGGACATCTTTTTCTCTCATTTTTCAATTGATTTTCTACAAAGATCAAGAGAACTAGTTCTTAAAACTGTCTGGCACTGTAATAGATGCCATTCTTTTATGACAACTATGAAAGTTTTTAAAAAAAGTTTTTCTCATTTAAAAGTGGTAGTTGTATGAAAGAATCGAATTTTGAGAGATTTGTCAACCCGAGTGAGAATAAATTTTTGTTTTTGTTATTTTGAGCCAAGTGTAGTTATATAAGGAAAACGTAGTTACTCTAATTTACTTTATGTCACATTTTTTCAATTGCACAGATATACACGCACATCATTTTTCTTCTCTTCTCTCTTCTATACACGCAATCTAATATTGTTAAGATCAAGCATGTCTTTATCTTCGTTGCTATTGTTTTTTGTTAATTCCAATTAAATGTACAGGATCACATTAGACGAAACACATTTCTACGTTTTTTCCTTTTCTGTCAATGTATTTATTTAACCATCTATTTTTCTTCATATTCAACTGCCAATATTTATTTGATTTTTTTTTTGTGAAAGTATGTGAAAGAATGTGCAGATTAATATTTCAGCATTCAGTGTCACTATATAGAAGAATTTAACAAAGATAGAATAAATACTAATAATCAATATAATCCAACATTCGTAGTTTTTAATGTGATTATGTGCATAATTTAATTTTAATGAAATCATACTTGATCAGATCGATGCATTGTTTCAAGTATAAAATTAATTTATAGGGAAATTGTGTTAAAAATACGAACTCGTATATAATTACAATAGGGAGTAGTGTTTAAAGTGCTTGATAGATCCTGATAAAAATCGGCATATTAAAACATTTCTAGAACAAGCAACGATAATTGCGTTCACTAGAGGATACAGAAAATATGAAATTCAGTCACAAGCATGCAAATGTAATATAACTATTCTGGAAATAAAATCTAAATTAAGGTTTTTTAAGTACAGTGACATCATATGGCCGTACCGACTTTTTGTAGTTTAACTGAGATGTTATCGATTGCAATGTGTTTTTCAATGCTTGCTGACATCTCGTTATAATATAGAATCTTATCCAATATTCGTATACATTCGACTACTCTTCTATAAAAGTCGATGCCATACAATCATTATTTATCAGAGCTTTGCTGAAGTAGAAAAAAATGTTGGTTTTTATTATTTCCATCATCGATCTGATTCTGACCAGGATTATTACCTAGGCTTGAAAAGCGGAAAAAGTTTTGCTGGTTTTTTTGAAAATTTCTCAAGTTAAGAACGTTTTTCGAAGAGTTTTTTTTATCAAATTTGTTGGTAAAAAAAAGCAGAAAAACCTTGATTCGGGCTATTATGTAGTTTTTCTCTTTATTAAACAACCTTGTTATAATTTCGTCTATCGTACTCATAACTGGATTAACTTATACAATGAATCACGTTACTATCTATTATACACGCTATTTGTAAGAAACGTCTAAATCAAACGCTACAGCAGCGCTGCAATCGATGTAATTTCATGTTTTTACGTTGAGTGTAGGGTATAGTATGCTCTTTAATATATCTTAACATTAAAACAAGCGTTTAGTTTATATAATCCCAAACTTTTGTAGGTTGAACAAACGGTCGATGTGTTCTGTATTGTATAAATAAAAGATGCTGAGTCTTGCTTGTCGATTATTCTGTGCCATACATACTTTCTTGTGCGATCCACTGATACACAATCAGCAGCAGCCGTAGTAGACTATTGCAAAGAGGTTTGCAACAGTATTCCTATTGGTCGAAAAGATAAACCAATTCATTGGCTGTACACTGCTTTGCATGTACTTTTCTATTTTAGAGCTTCACTTCTTTCGCGCTTTGTCATATCAGAATGGGCACCTTTATTTTGAACATGCTCCACTTTTAGCATCATCATGCACATTTTTGGTTTGGCAATAGAAAAAGGGCGTCTGTAGAACGCTTTTATCAAGACCTTATTCTCTATTCGGATCCGGAAGTCATACTTTGATGTCACGTTTACACCGTGATTATGAAACGGTGTATATTAAGTTGGTTTTGATTCTTTGTATGATTCTGTGAACTGTGTCACAAATCATAAACTTTGAACGTACATTCGACAAAAGTTTTATCAACAGCATCTAATAGGTATCTATTTCTCGAAACTTCGGACGCGTTGATAAACTCGTCTCTGACAAAAGACAGTAATCTTTCTCGTTGTTTGACTCGACAGCGGCCATATTTGGATAGAATTGGCGACTAGCGCCAAAAAGATTATTTTAGAACTGGAACTAACTTACTACTATATATGTCAAAGTAAAGTAAAATAAATCTGTATTTGACTGTCAGGTAACTTATTCAATTCTGTTTTTTCCATTTCTTTTTAGATTTTGTACATTATATGTTGAACTAAAATATTTGTACCCTGTGTGTTATATAAGCTCAAAATGTCCGGTAAAATTGCCAATAATTCTACAGACGCAACAAGTAAATTATGGAAAACAGATCATTCCATACCTGGCAGACCGATTTTTGGTGCACAATATTCTCCTCTTTCGTTGAAATCAAACAAGTCAGTATTTTCTACTGTTGATATTGGGATGTATAAGTCCAAGATTGTATCAAAATACTGGACTTGATGCATCTCTAGTTGCTTTATAGACATCAAATTGTTAATTAATCTTCGGTTTGTGTGTTGTAGAAAAAGTGTACCAAATAAAAATCATGTGAAAGAACAACAAGCATTCACTGAATACATGAATAATACAGTTGATGCATGGACAATTGATGATGAATTAGAAAGTGAAAATGAAGAAAATGATATTGATAAAGAAGAGCCATTTATATCAAAACAAGTATATTGAACAAGCGTAAAGCAATTTTTTTTTATAAGAGTTTAAACAGAAGGACGAAATGATACTTGTTTTTTCTCACGAGTGCCATGAAGATTCAAAAATCCCAAACGCCTAAATAAGTGGAATTTGTACATCAGTTACACACAAAAGAAAACATAGTCCTCACATACCACATTGATGACGTTTAAGTATAATTTGAAGTAGACAAAGACGCAGAAAGTAGTACAACAAAAAGAAGATTACCATCGATCGTTTATTGACAGAGATTATAAAACAATCGAGATGTTAAAAACGCGAAACGTTAACTAGTGACGCTACTTAATGTCAATTTCTCCGCCAACTTTTAATGTAAAACATGACCCATGTGCAGGAGGAACGTCGCAGCAGCATTTTCGTTTAATACTTCGTACTCGATATGCTCACTATTCACAGCCAGGCATATGTTCTTTCAAACATAATGGAGTCAAAATGTTCAGTAAATGGATTTGATAGCTCAGCGAGTATAAAGTCCATGCACTTGGGTTATCCATGACTTGGATTTTCATCCAGTCTGGTCGACGCTTTTTCCAGAGTCCTCATTTGATTTTTGCAATTTCCTTGTGAATGTCATTCTCATAATGGTATTCAGTTTTGTCGAAACACACACGGATATGTGGGAAAAAATTTCAACAGTTTTTGTTTTCTCGTATTTTTCACACAATTGGTAACTCATTGTAACGATACCACTCTCGTTTCGGCTTTTTGTACAGACAGCAAAACGAATGTAAATGTCGCGCGCTGAATAGATCAGAACCGTAGCTGTTGTAGAGTGGTACTGATCTTTTCTCTTAGACGGTAGATAATCCGTCCAAGTATCATGAAGGCTTGAAGTTGTTCATTATTGTTAAGTCGAATGACGTTTCAAGTTGAAATCTAAGTTCTGCTGTAACTCTAAATACATTGGTTAACTTCCAAACATTTAGACTGCTCAAGAGGTAGCAAAGCGTATTATACAAGAACATAAAAAAAGAAATGCATCGGTGAAAATGACATTGGACTCTTCCTCTGGTGAGTTTAAGTCTCATTTTTTGACGCTTTGATAATAACTGCTTTTTCTCTCCAGTATGTCGTCCGGCATCATCTAGTTCATCTTTGACTGCTTGCCCTGGGATTGGCATACGTCTTGGACAGCATCCAAATTCAAAAGCAATGGTACCTATACGTTTTACAAATCAAATTCGATCAACTATTATCACATTACCTGATATTGATGCACAAAAAGAAACTAGATTTAAACAAATTCTTGACCAATCTCATGTTGATCTTAGTTAGTATAAAGAAATTTCTCTCAGAGAATCTAATAACTGTTCCATTAATATAGATGAACTTCGTAAAGCAAGTTGGAATGGAATACCAAAACAATTTCGCGCACAAGCTTGGAAATTACTTTGTGTATGATACAAACGTCGGAGTTATTTTCAAACATGTTTTCTTTTATATTTTTCTTTTTAAATTTAGGGTTATTTGCCAGCTAAAATTGATCGCCGAGATGATACGTTAAAGCGAAAACGTGACGAATATTGGTCTTATGTTAGTCAATATTATCATACAAGATCTGAATCTGTTCATCAAGATACCTTTAGACAGGTAGAACAATAATTAATTCAGGAGTGAAATATTTTGTTCAAATATTCATCTTACTTTAGATACATATTGATATTCCACGTATGAATCCATTGATGCCTATATTTCAACAATTAGTTGTTCAAGAATTATTTGAACGTATTTTATTTATATGGGCTATAAGACATCCAGCAAGTGGTTATGTTCAAGGCATTAATGATTTAGTTACACCTTTCTTTGTTGTTTTCTTATCAGAATTTATCGATAATGGTAATAAGGGCATGTACTATTCCTCTTCATTTTTAGAAAAATTTTTTTTGTCTGAGTTATTATTAGATTTTTATGTTATTTTCATATATTTAGATGTTGAAATTGAAAACTTTAATATTGCCTCATTAAGTGAAGAACATTTACATATTATTGAAGCCGATAGTTATTGGTGTACATCAAGTTTACTGGATGGAATACAAGATAATTATACATTTGCCCAACCAGGAATACAATATAAAGTTCGAACATTAGAAGAATTGATTAAACGAATAGATGGTAAGAAACAAGGAGTTTTTATTAAAATTTTCATTCTCATGATAAAAACTAGCTCATTATAGAGTTCTCACTTAGTTTTGTTTAACAATTGAAGTATCACTTACACTATTATTGTTGTTATTATTGTTTTAGATCCACTTCATCGTCATTTAAAGGATCAACATATTGAGTTTTTACAGTTTGCATTTCGTTGGATGAATAATTTATTAATGCGAGAACTACCTGTTCGTTGTACCATCCGCTTATGGGATACATATCATGTATGGCATTTAAAAATATGATTATATTTTTTTGAAAATTCATCTTTTTTTTTTTATTCTAGGCTGAACAAGATGGTTTTTCGCATTTTCATTTATATATATGTGCTGCATTTTTAATTCGCTTTTCAAAAGATCTACTACGAGAGAAAGATTTTCAGGTAAAGGTTTAAAATAGAAAAACAAATCACATATATGGATGAAAAATTGATCTGAAAACACAGAATTTCATTTACTTAGTCTTTTTCTTCTTTATTAAGGGTTTATTATTGTTATTACAAAATCTCCCAACTCATTCGTGGACAAGTAATGATATTAGTATATTGACAGCAGAAGCATATCAATTGAAAGTAATGTTCGCTAATGCACCAAGACATTTAAGTTAGTAATGTACAGGCAATTTTTGGTACAAAAATAAAACTTACTTATCTTTTAAATTTCATTTATATTTAAAATAATGAATATACTAAAGCTAAAATGAATTTTCTTTGGCACTATTCTATGTCAGCATTATAATTGATGAATAGTTGATTCTAATTCATTTTTCCACGATAAAAATCGTGTGTGATCTAAAGTAACAGATAAATGTTTGATTTTGCTCATTCTATTTTTGTCTTTCGTTCATATTAAATTTCATTTTAGAAAAATAAATATCTTTCTTTTTTGTGTATAAATTCTTTCTAAACATGTAAATCCTGCGCTTGTTTTTAGTAATGCTTTATTTTTGTTGGTATTTTTTCTTTATTTAATTTCATTGTACTTACTTATTCTTTTATATATTTTCAAATTAGTATCATAAAATTGTATTTTTTGTGAGTCTTTTGTTGTTACTGTTGAAATTGTATAAGGAATGATATTTAATCATATGTTACATCTAATAGGTTGAGTATAGAATCTACGAAAAATTTGTCTCTCAATTTNTCCTGCGCTTGTTTTTAGTAATGCTTTATTTTTGTTGGTATTTTTTCTTTATTTAATTTCATTGTACTTACTTATTCTTTTATATATTTTCAAATTAGTATCATAAAATTGTATTTTTTGTGAGTCTTTTGTTGTTACTGTTGAAATTGTATAAGGAATGATATTTAATCATATGTTACATCTAATAGGTTGAGTATAGAATCTACGAAAAATTTGTCTCTCAATTTGGAAATTATACATCTATTCTATGATTCTAAGTGGAGCCAGTTTTCGCTGTATTTTGATCCAATAATGGTATAGTAGCGATATATTTATAATGACAGAATTCTAACAGATACAGTCGTGCAATAAACTAATAGTTTTAAACTATGATAATGCTTTTTGTTAGACTCCGTATTTAATAATGATTAGAAAGGTCTATGCTATTTTATTAGCAGTTTTTAATTAAATAATAGTCAATCGTTCACACCCTGTGAATCAATTGAGTTCAATGTTCCATTTTGTATTTCAAAGCTAAAAAAAGCGTTAACGTGGGCAACCTTTTTTTCTTTTGAGAATTTATATGTCAAAGTGAGCTCAAGGCATTTGTACTTTTATTGTCTATTTTTGTTCTTGTGCCGTTCTTAGGTACCAGATCAGCATAATGTTTTTGTGTACATGTCTGTTAAACAGTTTGAATTTTATAAAGAATATGTGTATTTATTCAATTATTTTTAAAGTTTACAAAAGAAAACAGACTATTTCCATAATGAATTCTTTGATTTCTCAGTCGTAACTATATTTTGAATAAATTATGAAAAATTATGACACATCAACAGTTTTTGGATTGTGATACCTAATAGCAAGTAACCTTTTGTTTTATTTTATATTTTCTCTCAACCTACACGGAACACATTTTGTAGCCTTAAGAATAGAAGAGACAACGAAATAGAACTCTATTAATTTTAAACTGAACACTATAAGATATTTATATCAAATGAATGTCTTTCCAGTTTGAACGAGATAAAAAAAGAAGAAGAGAGAAATAAGAAAAGAGTCTTCTCAACAAAATGAGAAGAAACTTAACCGAGAGAAAATCAATTCTAAAAAAAAAACTTGGTTCACTAGCATAACCTGGGGTTTCGATTCACACTTAAGATTTATTCAACTATGTAGTTAAATATTTCTACAATATGAGATCTCATTCAGCTTTACACAATAAAGTTTTGACTAAAAAAACACAAAAAAATAGAAATTATTGAAGATTACATTTTAAGATAAATTTCTAGTACAATATTAGTTTATAAAAGCTAATTTTAGGCAAAATTAGCATCATTTCTTTACATTAAGCTCTATCATATTATAATATAGATTTGAATGAAAATAAAATCTAAGATGATTATTAAGCAAGTGTTTCTTATGCCGTAATTTTTTAGTTATATGTATATAACAATACAATAAATATGTTTAAAAAAACAATGGATTTACAAATTTTTCTACATTTTATTATTGTACGATAACCAATGAATGCTACTTTTTAATTAACCATTTTCTTTTTTTAACTTATTGATAATTCTTTCATATACAGAATTTTTTACGGTTAAAAAGAAAAGAAGAGATTTCTCTCTTATAGATCTATTCGTTCGATTCTCAATGTTTCTATTAGTCATTTTTCTATTCAACTATATTCTATAGTTCTTTATTTTTTCTTTAACGCCGTTCGACATAATGTATGAACATAGTTTAATTAGCACAACACGTACATTCGTAATAAATCTTCTGAAAAAAAACAAAAAACTATTGAGAATTATTTTGTCATTTTAATTCTCAAAGGGTCAACATGTATATACATGTGTATGTAGGATTAAATAGTTCAAACAACAGTGATGATGTGTCATTTGTCATATATCTTCTGTTTTTTTATTCATCAAAAAAGAAAAAAAAAAAACCTAATTCCATAAGAAAAATTGTATGGTAAATAAGGGTGCTTAGTCATTTGTTCTCTAGAATTGTCACGTTTAGTTAAATAGACGAAACGAATCTTCAATATCAATAATTATGTTCGATTCATTCATTTACTTAGGAAGTTGATCGATAAAAAAGAATAATAATAATAAGTATTATTAGTATTTCAAATAGTTTTAAATCTTTTCAATAGTCTTTTATTTTCCTTTCTTTTTTCTTTTTTCTTGTTTTTGGTTGTTGTTGGGTTAGAATAACGGAAATATTCTCTGCTTTTTTTTTTTTTTTTTTTTTTTTTTTTTTTTTTTTTTTTTTACGGGCAAAAAAAGGAGACGCGTAGTTTTTTTTTTTTTTTAAAAATAAAGGGTTTTGTGGGTTGGAAAAGGTTTTTTATAGATTGGATTAATTT